CCCCAAAACCCCAAAACCCCAAAACCCCAAAACCCCTTCTGAAATATTAATATAAAAATGGAGGTAAGTATCGGGATTGGCACATTATGAATGAAGCACTCAGATGAAGTCTAATATTATCTAGCCATTTTTAACTGGAGCTAAGCTTGTTCCCTGAATGACTTAAAGACACAAAATTCATATTGAGCAAGCTAAAAATTGTAGACTTCCTCTTCATAGTTGAGGTAAATTATATAATTGCCTTGGTACTTTAGTTGATATTTCCTTTCTGTAAGCACCATAACTTCTGCTGATATCATCAAGGAAATACAATAGCGTAGTTTTATTCTAAAATACTTTGAAGCTGATCCTTCCTTGTCAACTCTTGTTTCTAAATCTTCCCCATTCCGGTAGAATCCCAGTGCATCTAGATTATCTTTGATTTAAGGCAGGTTCCTTGTACTACCACTACTTTAAAGTTCATGAAGCATTATCCTAAAAAATGTAGATTACCTCATACTAATTCCATTCTAGCCAGACCGAAAGCATACCTCTCTAGATATTAAAACAAAGCCAAAAAAATGTAGAGCCAAAGGCACCAGTAAGCACAATTATTTTGTCAGTTGAGATCATGGTTTTAGAACATAAAAACAAGTCAGAGTACCCTGAAGGAACTAAAATAGGACTCACCCAAGAATCTGATGCGTAATATATGAGTTAAATTTTAGTGATAAACTCCGAAAACTACTCAAAAACCCTCAGAGTAATGCCATGAAGGAGACAACTTCGAAGAAAAAGTCCCATTCTTATTCGAGAATTAATAGGAAGAGGTCTAGCCATGAGAGGACATTGAATAAGGATTCTGAAGAGAATAAGGATGATGGGATCAGCTTTGTAAAGAAATATTTTAAAGACAAGGAAGAAAATCGCCAAGGCTCTTCCATAAACACTATCGCTGGTAATTACATCTGCCTCGATCAAGGAGAGGTCATTATCAAAGGAAGAGATATAGAAACCGTAGTTCCATGTGAGATTGAAAATGTATTCTTTGAGAAGTAACTCCATAATCTGATATTTTAGTGGAAGAGGCAATAGCATGATCTTGCCAAACCAGCCTGTGAAGATAACCATTACTCCTATTGATGAGGGAGAGTCTGTTGAGTCTGATAAGAATAATCCTTCTACCACAAAGCCTAATCCTGACTTAAACAAGAATTCTTCAGATAATTCTTCAAAGCTTCATCCTGCATACCTGCAATTGATGGGAATTATCGAAAAACATTTCTGCTTGAGAGAGGTCAAGGCGACTTGTGGACAAAGCGAAGAACGCCCGATGAGTTCTTTTAACAGTATTGAAAAACAACGCAACGGTGAACAAAATGACAGTCTACGATCTTCCTCCTCCAATAGAGCATTCCAGGATCAGAATAGGCCTGAAAATGAGAGCAACTCTCAGCCTATTTTTCATAATGCCAATAATGACAATTGGTTTAGCAATGGAGGCTCTAAATCTAAAAATCCATAAAGTTTCATCTAAAATATACTTTTCCAATTGAAAATCCTTGTTGCTGATCAGAGCTAGATAAGAGGGGCAGGCACTAAAAGATGTAGCTGTTCCTTCCAAGACTAGTGGCCTTAGCTATACCTAGAACCTGACTACTAGGAAGTAACTTAGTCTTTGTCATTCACTACATGCCATTTATAGATAGGTAATCTTTAATGATAGAGCCATGTTAATATCCTTGAACAGTATTTGTGTGAAATATTCTAGAATACGTTCAACATGTTAGTGTTAGAGTGGGGTTTTGGGGTTTTGGGGTTTTGGGGTTTTGGGG